CTCAATGCTAGGCGCTTGGGTCTAAGTCTTTTGCTGACTCAAACAAAAGCATTTGGGAACCATTACAGGCCACCCACAAACTCAATTACTTCCAACCAGAAACAAGAGAAGCCTAATGAGAGTAGGACATCAGAATACGCCAGGGGACCATCTGGCAGTCTAAAGATGAGAGACTGACAAAGTGAAAGAGCATTTTAAGAAAACTACGTAGAAATTATGTACAGCAACGTTGGGGTGGTGACCCAAAATAGGATGTAGACATGCAAATTTGAACAAGATCTAGACATATATGGTAAAGCTGGATTTATTTAATTTTGGTTCCCAGACTGTTAAACTTTAAGACTGTCTGTTGTACAGATCAGTGGTAACAGTAAAACAAAACCAAACCACTGCAAGAATTAATAGGAAGACGGCTTGGAAAAATAAAGATGAAGAGAGTGTCAAACTACAAATAAAGCCAACGAAGCAGAAGTCAAACAAGGTCTGTGAGACTGATGTTTTCCAGTATGACAAGGAGGGGAAAAATAACCTTTTATAGAAACACAATTCACCACAGAAAAACTAAATATTTATGGGTGGGGGGTGGTTAGTGTGTCAACCTGGCAGTAGACAGTGCTGTAACCAGATTCAGTTTTCAGGGTGACTGTAAAGGTTTGACTCAGCATCACAGACTACAAGTCCGTTCCCCTGACTACCTATCAACAAACAACAGAGCAGTGCCAAGAATCTCGATCCCCATCCTGCCCTTCCATCTGTTTATCTTTCCCTCCTTCCATTAATCCCTCCATCTCTTTTATTCCTTCTGCCCAAGGTTTGAACAGCTTTCATTAAAGCTTAGCAATCACCTGCTCTAGATTACATCTGTGGAATACAACACCGATGTTAATTAGATCAATCAGCTTTGCTTCTTACAGCACTTAATGTTATCCTTCCCTCTGTCCATAATGGATACACAAGATGACATTTGACTTGCTTGTTCCGTCCCTCCATCAGAGCGTCCATCCATGTAGCTTCCGTACCGCCTCCCATCCTTCTGCTTTTCTACTCTTTAACTGACAACTAAGTCTGTGATACATATCAGCTGTATGCAAGCTTACAACAAGGTTGGCTGGCCGGTAAGTTCCCAGTGATGGAGATAGGGAGCTGAAAAATGAATGAAAAAGGCAGCTCCCTTTGGTGCCAATGGTAACACTGTTTCACTGTGAGTCGGGGCTTTGCTGACAAAGAGCAAGCACAGTCAGCAAAAACTCACTCAATAAATGAAGGTTAAAAAATCCAGTCACAATTAAACTCCAGCATCACAACCACTGCCAAGAATCTACAACGAGAAACTATGGGTTCATAAAGAGCTACCCGGACAGCATGCCGCCATTTCTTGTAATTTCCTTTAATTATTTTATTCACTTTTTTAAAAGACAAATTAGGGTTGAATAGCAGTGACTTTCCCTATTATGACTAACCCCTCTCCTTTCCATTAAAAAAAAAGTACAAAAAAGTCAACTCAAATTTCCACTCACAAATGTCAACCATTTGCCACTTCCACATAATAAATACAGTATATTGAGGAGGTAAGAATCCCATGCAAGAGCTAGCCAGCATTAAAAATATTAATGTGATTATAATGCCCCTCTCGCTGCAGATACCCCTCTGGACTGTGAGGTGTCACTGTGGTCTCCTTGGGGCTTGTGCAAAGGCAAGTGTGGTGACTCAGGCGTGCAGCACCGCACACGCTACATCCTAATGCACCCAGCCAACAATGGAGCTGCCTGCCCCCTGCTGGAGGAAGACAGGAAGTGCTTCCCTGACAACTGTTTATGACTAGGCCAGGGAAGGAGGGAGAAGAAAGAAAGGAAAGAAGGATAGAGAAAAAGAAAGAAAAACCAGGAAAGGGAGGAAAGGAAGAAGACAGAGAAACAACAGAAAAAGGTCTGCAGTGTATTCACATGAGGCATAACTATGACGAGCCGGAGTCCCCTTTTTCCTTCCTGGTCACATCCTCTTTCTATTGCAACGACTAATGTACTGTGTTAGATTGTCTGACTGTTAAATTGGGAGAAAATTCTCATCCTCAAGTCACATTGATAGATCTGATAGCCCTAGAATGGTGTAGTTTGGCAAGGTAGCTATTAGACACCAATTCAGTTTTAGCAGATTATCACAATTGTCTGAGGAGAGAACAATGGCTATGTTTTAAACATAACTATTAACTGAAAACACATTTTCACATTCTAATTGGGTTTGGTTTGACATTTCTGAAGACAGACATTTGCTTGCCCACAGTGGATCAAAACTCCAAGCAGCTTTCATTTAGCGGATTTGGAAAGAAATCTATATAAATGATACTTAAGATCTAAAATCCTCATTCAAGGGAATTGAGTCAGACATAGAAATTAATGTACAGTTAATTAAACTATGCCCCATTCAAAGCATAGTGTTTACGGAGACACTGTGGTTGTTTTCCTGAAGGCAAAGAATATATTTATTTACAGGATTTTAACCTGTAGTGTACAGTATATAAAATCTGAAAGTAATAACTTGTATTCCTTTATGTTATTATATTAGTTCAATACAGAATATATGTTTTTTGTAAAAAAAATAAAAAAAAACACAAAAAATGTTCAAAAAAATGTATGTTTTTCGTTTGGACAATAAAGTGTAAAAATATCTAGATATTGTGTCCTCATTGATTACTGTTTATTCATGGAAGGGGTGGTCTATTTTGAAGGTTACTACATTGCGTATATTTGTAGTCTTATTTCCTTCACATAATCACAATAACTTTTGAGTAAAATTGTTTTCAAGGATATGGATTGAAACCTGTCTTTACTACCTCTGCTTAGTGCAATGTTGACCTCCAGTGACCTTTAAATCTCAATCACACATTTGGGTTTACTTACATTTGGGCTCCCAAGGTATTATTACTAACACTGGGGCTGCAGGATCAAATTGAGTGTAGAGAGAAATGCTTTTAACGGGATGACCTGGGTTCAAGCCCCGGTGTTGGCTGGATTTCGCCCTGATGAGGTGTTGGTCATAAAACGGGTGACGTGCTCACCAACTATTTAAAACAGTTCACCAAATGTTGATTTAGATCACGAGGCCTGAAATCTCTCAGAGCTTACTTTGGGCTCCAACGTCCAGTGCAACACATCCCAGTTTGAAGCAGGAGTCCCATTTTATAGGCAGAACAGACACCAGTTATACATAAAGTGACCTTTATTCAGAAAAGGTTTCTGGCCTGGTTGAAGGCGACACAATTTGAAACCGACTGAGAGTTTGCTTCTTTTATGAACGACAGTGGCTTTTGTAAAACATATGAAATCACTTACGACCACCCCCTCCCCTTTCCTACCAACCAACACAGAAACCATACTGCAGATGACAGATTGAACAGCAATAAGAACTAAACATCTGGTGCATGAGGGCGCTCCTTCTGTTTTGAAGGTAGTGGGAGAAGAAAATGACAGAGGCAGAGAATCAGGAGAAACAGGAGTGGAGTGGAGCAGATCCAGTTTCTTTCCTTACCAGCAGTTTCATCAACTAATACTTAGAGAGGTAAGACTAAAGAAGTACAGTACACCCTACATACAGGACTATATGCTGAAGAAAACATTATGGCATGTGTACACAACACAGGATTTTACCGCCATACCAACCAGGTCTCTAGGAATTTCTTTTGGTATGCTCAGGATATACATGACCACATGCATTAATGATTATAATATGCAACAAACAACCAGATCAAAACTTTTGCCACAGGAAAAATGTGTTAAAAAGGCAGAAGGAAGTGCTGCATGAACTAACTGAGTGATAGGTAGCACTATGTGGTTCACAGTAAATTGCACATTATTAATGATTGTATTTATAAGATATGTCTTGGAATATATTACAAAGTACAAAGACAGAATTTTGCAGGCACAATATCAATCTTTAAAACTGAATCTATTATTTTAATGGCACGTCTATTTAATGTAGCGATTTAGTATTCAGTTTCTGTAAAACTACTGAAGTGTGGGAGGAGAAGGAACTCTGATTCTTTGCTTACTTAGAGGAATAACAACTTTTGCAGATGGTTAATATGAGATGGGTTTATACTGTGAGTGGGGGGTTTTCTTTATAAGTGACCTCATCTAAGGTAAGCACGTGGCAACTATTGTATGTAATGGTTTAACAATTTGCAGGAAGATTTCATACTGTAGTAACACACACTGTGGAATTGGTAATCCTTACATCTTAAAAGGTTGAAAAAGTTAAACTTTTTTCATTTTTCAGGATTAACCACAATACTACAGTACTGCTTGCTCATACATATTCTCACCCTAGAGTACCCTAAAGGCACAATAAACACATTCTTGGATATGTTACTTGTTCTTCTTGTATCTTGTTGATAGCTAGCAATTTATCCCTTAGGGCACAGCTCAGCATCTATCACTTTCAATTTAGTGTGGTAAATGCAGAGTAGGCAGTTGGCCCTGTGGTGGAAATAAACCACAGCATTAAATAAGTCTACTGCAACGTTAACATGTTTAATAGCATGTACCAAAGTTCTTACATTATAACAGTAATTGGTGTATATTTGCTCTATAATATAATATAGCAATAGAAAATCTGTTCCATGGATTTGTGGAACAGATAGGTCATGATGCTACTCCTACACTTCATGTTGGTGTATTATAAGCACACAGTTGGATGTATCTGTTGCAAATGGTCGGTCCCAATCAGTCCCTATTCTTTGCAGATTTGCTATTGGCTCCCAGGTAACCAGTCACAAAATGACCAGAATGTCTCGTCACACAAACAGCACCTGTGAGTTTCACACACTCAAACTGGGTCCCTTACAGCCTTCCACTTTACATATTTGCTATAGGACATCGGTGTTTGTCTATAGTCAATGAAAATTTATAGTCGATGAAAAGTACTTCAATCTTGAGTTAGAATTTGAAGATCTACAAAATAAGTCAGTTGGAACTACAGGCCAAATATTCCGTCACTCTCAAGTGTATTGTAATTTAATAGCTCATTGTTAACTGAAAATGGGTTTGCGAGGCATTGCCTTTGTCCTCCAGTGTTACCTGATGTTGGCAGCAGCCATGTATTTTGATCTCGGAGCACAGGAGGAAAAATGCATCATTGAGGAGATTCCTGAAGACCTGCTGGTCACCGGTGAGTCCTTGGGAGGGAATATTCCTCCTGAGTGTCGTTTACAACTCAACAGAAGTCATGAATGTGGAATTAGATTTTGAAAAGTGTATTGTGAATTGCTATGTGATAGTTGAATCATTCAGTAAAGTTATATGTACTTCCATGATAGTATGTCTCTTATTTCAGCAAGTGCAAAAGCCATTTATAGTTTCCAAACTGTCTATTAAGTCGAGTCTTTGTGAAAACTGATTTGTTCTGTGCTTAGCCATGAAAATGTAAAGAGCATTTATTCACTGTGCACTCCACTAATTGTACTCACAAGTACTAAATATATCCTACAATTAGTCATACAATGAGGGATGGAGAGAAAAAATAGTTTGTGTACTTGGGTGACATTTGTTTTAACAGTAACATGTCAAGGAACGTATATATGAACTACTATACTATGTATAACATTGATTATTATGAATTGTAATGTAAATCCTAATATAACATAATTTATATTCCCTCTTCATGTTCAGTCTAATCCTGTGATGTTGTTACAGCACAAGCTTGATAATAACTTTTACTATTACTGTGAGTGACTGTGTTTGTGAATACTAGTATTTATTGCTGCTCTTACTAGTATGTATTGTCAGTTGTAGATCTGTAGTTGATGCTCTGTTGATGCTTGTATGTTGTTCCTCAAATGTAAGTCGCTTTGGATAAAAGCGTCTGTCAAATGAGTAAATGTAAATGTAAATGTGTGTCTTACCTTCAGGTTATTTCTTTTTGGAGCCTTGGGATTTGAAGACATTAACCAACTCCCCTCATCTCGGCATCACTGTGACAGTCAGAGACCCAAACCATGAGGTACTGCACTCACAGAAGAGGTTTATCACCAAGCCAGGGTCACACAGACTTGTGTGTGGTGGTACATTAAAAACAGGTGCTGGCTGGTTTCTCTGTTCAAACCAAACCCAAACAAGGACAAAATACATTTAACACAGTGTTACTGAAGGTTAGCACTGTATGGTTTGATTGATGAGAAATACTTACAGCATAAGCCTTTTTCTCTGTTATTGTTTTATAACAGTATTGTATTACACCTTCAGTTCAGCTTTTTGCCTAATGATGTGGTCCCAATATGAAAGAAATCCTTCAGAGTTTCATCGCAAACTTGTTTTGCAATGCCAAACAGCCATTAATGAGAAAATCTATCAGCTATCCTTTTCATATACTAATGCATCAGTTCCTCTTCTTTGGCACTTGACCAACCAAAAAATAACTAATAGAATGAAAACGGCATCTTCATTTTATTGACCCAAAGCTGAAGAAATGTTAGTCTAACAGTGACTTTCCTGCTCTCTAGGTTCTGATGAACAAACGCTATGGTAAATTTGGTAAATTCACCTTCACAGCTCACGCCTCTGGTCAGCACTACCTTTGCTTCCAAACCAACTCCACAAGCTTTGCTGTCTATGCTAAAGAGAGGCTGGTGAGACCTATGGACACAAACACAAAATGCATTTAAAACAGAGGGGAAAATGCAGCAACACATACAGTCTTGCAGAATTACAATATTATATCACACACTAAGTCAAGTCTGTCAATTGAGAGCAGACTAGTCACAGACTTTTGAAAATAATCAATAGTTTTCGTCCATTGTGCTGTACAGAAGGTACATTTGGACGTTCAGATGGGAGAGCACTCGATTGACCCCAACACTAAAAAGACCAAAGACAACATGGAAACTCTGGAGAACAGCCTCAGTCACCTCATAGATCAGATGATGTACATCACCAGGCATCAGGAGTACCAGAGGGTAAATAAGCATTTTACTGTCTGCAGACATAACAATCGCATGATGTGACAGTACATGTGAGTACATCGCACAACAGAGAGCTCAGAGGAAAAGGTAGGCTATGCTGTGGCTTGAAATGAATCATATCACATGCCATCTCTTCTGGCCTTAAAAAAGGATGTCAGATTTCATGTCTCTCTTATGTTTTATATTCCCTACTCATTCAGGAGAAGAGGAGGTGTTTCGTCAGATCAGTGAGGACACCAACAGTAAAGTTCTATGGTGGGCCGTGGTGCAGACCTCTATTCTGCTTTCGGTCGGTTTCTGGCAGATGAAACGACTCAAAGACTTCTTCATCGCCAAGAAGCTGGTCTGATGATGACCCCTGACCTGTCAGATCTACACAGTGACCTTATAGCATGTCCTGGCCATACTTGTCCCAGTGTCTATACTGCAACAAGTATACTTTATGTCTGTATCGCTTCAAAAGTAAAAGCACTCTCCTCTTATTGCCAAGCGGGTGGTGACAGAGACATGGGATATAGGATTAAAAAGTATGTATGGCGAAAATAAGTGTAAGGTCTTGAGATTTTTAGAAAATGTTACAAGCATAATAAGCATAATATGAACAATGTTTATCAGGATTGCCCACACAACAACACTGAATAAAAAAATAAAAATGATTTGAAGAATTGTATTCTGATTATTTCCCTTTTGAAACAATAAGCAATATTAATTAAACAACTGATTTTATGAATAACTTATTTTCAAATATGTAACTTTCAATAATCATCTAACAGTGTAGATAACGTTATATGACGTTACAGCTAACTAACGTTAGTTATATTATGATAACGTTATTTCAAGATTATTTTAACTAAGGTTCCTTAAAATTAATGAAAAAAGGACGTCTTTGTTGGCTTATAGGAAATAGCCTATAAAGCAGAGCAGTTAAACAGTTATAGTAGTCATTAATGCATAATATATACATATAAAATGTTATATAATAGCTTTGTTAGTTAAGATAATTAACTA